GGCCTGCTTTAGGGGAGCCAGGAGGGATGGAATCACCCCACCCCACCGCCCTTTGGTTCTCATTTGGTTTTTATTTCCTGTTCATACATTTATCATAGCACCATTTAAGGAGACTGAAACGTATTTATTTACCCCCCCCCGCCCCCCCCAGCACAACTGTTTCCACTTCTGAGTCCCTTTTGGTCTCTGTCCACATGCATACTCATCCATAGCTGTTTTTGTACGTGTAGCATGGCATGTTCTGCGCTGCTGTGTAACGGTACATCCCAGACACTTCCGCCCCACCACCGCCTTCACAATGACCATTTCCGTGGCCGCAGAGTCTTCCCGCCCACGCCCCTGACCTGCTCTCCGGTCCCAGGGCCTGCTCTCCTCCCCGGTCTCCTCCCGGCTCCCACGGTCTCAGCGATTTCTCCCAGCCCCTCAGATCATCCGGAAACAGAAAGGAAGCTCCCTGGGCTGCCACCTGCCCGGCTTCTCTACCCCAGACGTCCCAGCCACTGCCTCCTCCTTGAAAACTCCCTCTTTCCCCCTGGCCAGTGCTGGTCAGTGTTAAGTGTTAACCTATGAACCAGGAGGTCATGGTTTGATTCCCCATCAGGCCAGGTGCCCAGGTTGTGGGCTCCATCCCCAACGGGGGGGAGGGGGGGAGACAGGGAGAGGGTGCAGGAAGCAGCCGATCCGTGATTCCCACCCATCACTGATGTTTCTGTCTCCCTTCCTCTCTGAAATAAATGAAAGCCACATACCTACAAACGCCCCGCCTTTCCTTGGCGGTAGGAACGCAGCCAAACCGCAGGGTGGGATAGCCGTGATGTGCGAGGCTTGGAGATGGTTTTCAATACAAAGAGGCTCCTCCCCGGAGGAAACTTTTGGAGGGGCTTCCTGGGCCTTGTCCTTCCTTCCTCCGCGGATCTGGAGGGAGAAGGTCAGGGCGATGCTTGGGCACCACTTGGGGTCCGCACAGCCCGGGGCAGGGGCTCGGGGCTGATGCCCTGGCTGGTGTCGAACACCCGGAAGCTGAGCTAAGGACGCTGCACGTAAAGACGCCAGCCTCAGCGGCCAGCCCACGGTTCCAGCCCGGCTGCGGTGCTGATGCCGCTGTCTTCTGTTTCTTTAACTGCCCCCATCCCCACGCCCTCCAGCCAGCCGGGAGGTCTCTTTCTCCTGCTAGAGGGAGGCACCAGTCCCTGTACCTCTGCCCTCTCACGAGCCAAATAATCAATCTAGGGCTGATAAAAAATAGTGACCAACTTATTTATAACAAGACCTAATATTTATGGCGTACTTACTGCTTACCAGATACTCTGCTAAAAAGCATTTTATGTCGGGCTGGCCTGGCTCAATGGTTGAGCATCAACCTATGAACCAGGAGGTCACAGTTCGATTCCAGATCCGGGCACATGTCCGGGTTGCCAGTTCCATCCCCAGTGTGGGGCATTCGGGAGGCAGCCAATCAGTGATTCTCTTTCATCATTGATATTCCCCTCTCTCTCTCTCTCTCTCTCTCTCTCTCTCTCTCTCTCTCTCTCTCTCTCTCTCTCTCTCTCCCTTCCTCTCTGAAATCAAATTTTAAAAAGCATAGGTTTCTTTAAAAAGCTTTTTATACTTGTCATCTTATTTATTCTTCACAACAACCAAATAAGATAGGGAACTATCGCTCCCCCCCCGTTTGGCAGCTGGGGAAATGAGTCTCTCAGAAGTTAGCAACTTGCCCGGATCTTCCTTAAAATTCTAGCCGTATACCCCCCAGCCACCCCAGCTGGGAGGCAACGGCTTTAGTGAAGCCGAGATGAGCGGCCCCCTTTCACTCCCTCCAGAGAAGCCCCTTGCTGGTGTGGAAGTTATTTCCTGTAAAGGCACCGGCTAGAAATGTTCCTTTTCCTTTCCATTTCCCAATCGAGGCTCTGCCCTATTTCTCCTTAGAAGTCTCTGCTTCAAGGGGGGGTGGGGGGGCAGGAGGGGCAGGGAATTCGTGGTGGGGGAGGAGGGGGAAGAGGGGGATGGGCGGAGCAGCAGCCTGTGGATCAGGGCCCTTCCTGGGCCCTGGCCACCAGAGTCCCTTTCCAGGTGCTGTGAGAGCCCCGCCATCTGGCGGCGCAGTGGATAGAGCAGCTGCTTTTACAACAGGCTCCAGGGCTCCTGTCCCAGCGCGGCCCCTTGCTGGCCGGGTGGCCTTGGGTGGACAGCCGAGCTTCTACCATATGCTCTGGGGCTTGAGCCCTGGGCGGGGGGAGTGTTTACTGAGCCTCAAAGAACAGATGCACCGGCTTCCCCTCTCCTGCCCCTCATTCATCCTGGGGAGAGCACACGCCCTTAGGGCTCTCAGCCAAACTAATCAAGATCTGGTGATGGGCCCTAGCTGGTTTGGCTCAGTGGATAGAGCACTGGCTTATGGACTGAGGGGTCTCAGGTTCGACTCCACCCAAGGGCACACGCCCGGGTTGCGGGCTTGATCCCCAGTAGTGGGTGTGCAGCAGGCAGCCAATCAATGATTTTCTCCTATCATTGATGTTATATCTCTCTCTCCCTCTCCCTTCCTCTCTGAAATCAATAAAGATATATTTAAAAAAAAAAAATCTGGTGATGGGAAGGGGTCTGGCATGGTGCCAGAAATGGGCTCCTCCACATTGAAGTCTAATTGTGGAGATAGTCACATGCACCTTGTTATTTGGGGCTTTTATGTATGAATGTATGTATGTATGAATGAATGTATGTTTTTATTGATTTTTAGAGGGATGGAGAGAAATATTTTTTAAAAATATATTTTATTGATTTTTTACAGAGAGGAAGGGAGAGAGGGATAGAGAGCTAGAAACATTGATGAGAGAGAAACATCGACCAGCTGCCTCCTGCACACCCCCCACCGGGGATGTGCCCGCAACCAACGTACATGCCCTTGACCGGAATCGAACCTGGGACCTTTCGGTCCGCAGACCGACGCTCTATCCACCGAGTCAAATTGGCTTTGGCAAGAGAGAAATATTGATGAGAGAGAAACATTAATTGGCTGCCTCCTGCATGCCCCCCCTAGGGACTGGGCCTTCAACCCATGCATTTGCCCCAAACCGGGAATAGAGCTGGTGACCTTTTGGTTTATAGGTCCACACTCAACCACTGAGCCACACGGGCCAGGCTAATGGGGCTTTTAGACTTGGGCTTCAGGGCTTGAAGCACCAAATACAAGAGGGACTTGCTTTCCTACCGTTGGGGGGTGTGGGGGGTAGACACAGGCCCAGTGGGGCGGTTCCTTCTTGGAATCAGCTGATGGCTCCCCTGCAGCCTGCTGGGGGCTCTGAGTCCTTGCCTTGCCACCCTGGTCCCCACAGGCATGGCTGCAGCCAAGGGAACAAAAAAGGCCCTTTAGAGTAGTCCCTTGGAGAAACTGAGGCACCGAACCAGGAAGTGGACTTCTTTGCCTTCAGATTTTATTTTTCCTCCCTTCTCTGTCCTCTGGGACTGCTTGCCCTCCACAGACAAACTGGACATCCCACGAGTGGGCCACAGACGGGCCGGCAGCTGGTCTAATCATAGCAGTGGGGGGCCCCAGAGTAGCCCAACACTAGCAATTGCCCGATTTAAGTAATACTCCGATTCTCTGATTAAAGAGCGTTGCCAGAGCATCCTAATAGGGCCTGGCGATGGGGCGCACCCTCGGGGGGCCTGGCCTGCTGTGGCCCCAGCCCCAGCCTTGGGAAGGCAGCTGACTCAAAGCCCAGCCGATCCTCAGGGATGGGACAAACCCCGGCTGGCAGCGGGGGGAGTGGGGAGATAACGTGCAGCCGGGAAAATGAGACGGTCTCCTGCGCTCCAACACACGCTTCCCCGGGGGCTGGACAGCCCGGCACCCTAAGGCCGTGGGAACCCGCTGTGCTGCGGGGGGATGCCGCCTCCGAGCCTGGCTTCCTCGGGGCCCGTCCCGCACACGCTGAGCCTCGTTCATCCGGGCGGACAGAACGGATCCGTTCCCTCTGAAGACAGGCCCGCCGCCGGCCGCCACGGCAGGTTTAAAAAACACCAGGGCCGCATTTCTGGTAGCTCAGTGTACCCCCCGCGGAGAAGGAAAATGTCAGTGGAGCAGATTACCCGCTGAATGCATTGGGATCTATAAATATTAACTTGCTCTGGCTTTCACCTGCCCGTGTGCAATTAAAGCTCCGGTCGGCTCCGGGGGACAGGAGGCTGGCTGGTGCGAGCTGGGCTGAAGAGGCAGGTGTCCCCAGTGGGCAGGGCTGAGGCTGGCCCTGGGGGCTGTGGGCCTGGGGGTGGGCCTGGCTGGAGGAGCAGCAGTGGGTGCAAAGAGCAGGGAGGTGGAACACAGACGCAGCTGGAGCCTAGCATGGGGTTGCTGTGATTTTCTATTCGCAGCTTTATGGGTGGGGTGTGGGGGCTTGCAGGGGGCTAGGTGCTGCGTTTCTTACCCCAGGCTTGCTCCCTCCAGGGACTGGCCCCTCAGAGCAGATATTGGGGGACACCCCCTCCCTCGCCGAGGCAGCAGGGCTGGAGCTGGGCCACGGGCTCCCGGGCAGCCAGCTGTCCTCCTCCTGTCCCGCTGCCGCCCCTGCCACAGGCTCCTCCCCGACACAGGCCCCACCTTTGGGTGACCCCGTGGCAATGGCTGATTGGTGTGGGTTTGGCATCTGTACCCTGCCAGGGGGCGTGTTTTCACACCATCCATTACGTTGAGACGCCTGGCAGGTGGGGGCAGCGCCTCCTGCTGCTTTGGGATCCGTTCGGGATTTATCGACTGCTTCCATGTGCCAGGGCCCCGTGCGATGTCCCATAAATACACAGATATCTGCACAGCGGGACGAGGTGACAACTGCAGGGCATCCTCCCCGGGCGGGGCACAGAGGGGAGAAGGGACTTGCTCAGGGTTCCCTGGGGAAGGTGTGTGGCTGATCAGGGGCCGAGCCCGATGCCATCCCGGGCCCTCCAGTGAACGCCGAGCGGGAGCCGCCCCTCCCGCGGGCGGTGGCCACCAGCTCTCTCTCTTGCAGGCATCCCCACCCTCATCGTGCTGGACCCGCAGGGGGACGTGATCACACGGCAGGGCCGGGTGGAGGTGCTGAACGACGAGGACTGCAGGGAGTTCCCATGGCACCCCAAGCCCGTGCTGGAGCTGTCCGACTCCAACGCCGTGCAGCTCAACGAGGGCCCCTGCCTCGTCCTCTTTGTAGGTATGACGCTCGGCAGGCGGGGGGCTGGCCCACCTCCAGTGGGAGCGTCTGTCCCAGCAGCTTCTCTCTGTCACAGAACAATGCCAGCCTGGGCCTTTGTCTCTCCCTGCAGCCCTGCCTTTGACCCCAATGATTTATTCATGGCTCCCCGCCATAGGAGGGGTTCGGGAGCCTGCTGTGCTCTCCTTCCTAGCTGCTCCCACTGCCAGCTGGAAGCACAGGCCGGGCCCCGGCCCCGCGAACAGGCCCGTTGTTGGAAGGGGGCGGGGCTGCACCTCTGCAGCTGCTTGGGGCTCAGGCTCCCGTGGGGCTGCTGCCCGCTGGTCACCTGTGTTCTGGCCAGCTGGACGCGGCTGCTGGGGCTCTCCCAGCCTCAGGTGGCATCTCTGTGGCCAGCTGCCCCTCTCGGGCTCCCCTGACTGGCTCACTCTGGTGCTCGGTGGGTGGCGGCCGTGAGGAGCAGGAGGGCACAGGAAAATCTCGGCTCCCTGCAGCCCCCTGAGGTGACTTGATTCCTTTTGCGAACAGAGCAACTGCTGCCCAGGATCTACCTCAGCCCCTCCCGGGGGCTCGTTGCTCAGCTCCAAATAATGTTGGGTCCCCGGAGCGCGGCTGAGATGCTGCCATACCCACTCAACTTCCCACCCCTGTTCTCTGGAGGCCTGGTGATCTGAGGTCACGGCGTCTCATTCTGTGACTGAGAGGGAATCTACCGGGACCGGGGCCTCGGGTCCGGGCTTCGGGGAAGCTTGGCTCCCCAGGTGGGTTTGTGCAGAACTGAGTGAAAAGTCTCACTTTTGCGGGGGCATTAGTGCCGCTCAGCGAGGCGCGCTGCCCTGGGGAGCGCCGTGCAGTGGGCGCTGTGTGAGCAGGGACCCCCCTCCTGCACCAGGAGGCCAGGCCGTGCCCCAGGGAGCCTCTGCCATTCCGGGCGGCCCAAGTGGACGTCCCAGCCTGGCCCCCGGCGCCCTCGGGGGGCGCCGCTCGCTGACCAGCCCCGCGCCCCGTGTCTCCCTCCCATCACAGACTCTGAGGATGACGGGGAGTCCGAGGCGGCCAAGCAGCTGATCCAGCCCATAGCCGAAAAGATCATTGCCAAGTACAAAGCCAAAGAGGAGGAGGCGCCGCTTCTGTTCTTCGTGGCGGGGGAGGTGAGTGCCTGCCGGGCTGACCTTCAGCACGTGCGGGACGGGCTTTCGGGGATGTGACAGGGGGCCCTGGGGTCAGGGGTGACGGTGCTTCCGGAAGAGCTCACAGACGGGTGTGGTGTCTCACGGAAAACCACCTCCCGCCTGGCTGCTTCCTCCTTCCTTCCTCCTCGCTCCGCGGCCTCCGCGCTGCAGGGGGCACTCCTGGGCCGAGCTGGCTCTGCAGCCACCGGGATCGCGGTTCACACTCCCTCCCGGGGGCGGGGGCGGGGGCGGGGGCGGAACAGGCCCTGGGTGCTTTCGAGCGTCTGTGAGGTCAGTCCGCCTCACTGGTGAGCGTTTCCGTGACGGGGATCCCGCTGGGGCCACATCTGACCTGAAGTGCCAGCTGCCAGGAAGGGTGCGAGGCTGGAAGCTGCCCACAGCCCTCTCTCAGGGCCTGGCTCATGAAGGTGGCTGGACGGAGCAGAGGATTTCACTGGTGAGAAGGCAGGGCCCGTCAGCCGGGCCTCCTCCAGCAGGCGCCCGCCTCCTCTGAGATATCGGGGAGCCTGCCCTGCAGGCTGGGACTCTGCCTGAGGGGGTCAGCGGGGTGCTCTGCCTCGGCTCCCATCCTCAGGAGCCACCTCTGCACATGCTCCACGCCACCCCGTCCAGCCAGGCACCGGCCATACTCCGGTTATTGAACTTTTTGAAGCCCCGGGGCCTCCTTCCACCACCGGTACCTCCAGCTGGTCAGAGCCCATGTTTATTTCATGCTGTATCTGGATCCCAGGAGAGGCAGCGGTCGCCAGACTCCCTGAACCAGCACCCATTCATCACCCCTCAATGGCCTCCTCAGCTAAGCCCTGCGGGCCCCTGCCGGCATCTGAGTGTGTGTGTGTGTGTGTGTGTGTGTGTGTGTGTGTGTGAGTGTGTGTGTGTGTGTGTGTGTGTGTGAGTGTGTGGTGAGTGTGTGTGTGTGTGTGTGTGTGTGTGTGTGTGTAAGTGTGTGTGTATGTGTGTGTGACTGTGTATGTGTGTGTATGTGTGAGTGTGTGTATGTGTGTGTATGTGAGTGTGTGTGTGTGTATATGTGTGTGTGTAAGTGTGTGTGTATGTGTGTGAGTGTATGTGTGTGTGAGTGTGTGTGTGTGAGTGTGTGTGTGTGTGTGTGTGTGTGTGAGTGTGTGTGAGTGTGTGTGTGTATGTGTGTGTGTGAGTGTGTGTGTGTGTGAGTGTGTGTGTGTGTGTCCGCTCAGCTGCAGGGTGGAGGGAACAAAGCGGGTTCACAGGCCCTGCCGTGGGGTTGCACAAGCCCACTCCACACAAAGCACAAATGCAGGCTGCTTCGAGTTTATTAAACTCTGACCCCGTTCAGGCTGCTCAGCGGGGAGAGATGGGGGGAGAACAGAAAGGGCTGGGTTGGGTGGGGGTGGGGCTGGAGGGCTCCAGGAGCTGCGGTAGAAATGTGGCTGAAAGGGGGACATTTTGTGGGTTTTCTACATACCGGGCACCAAGCCAAGTGCTTCCCCTGTACAGTCCCATCTGTCCCCCCTCTCTGGCTCGAGAGAATCATCGCTGTTTCACAGATGAGGAGGGCGAGGCTCGGGAGGGTGGCGGCTGGCTGGATACCGGCTGCTCTCACGCCTCACCTAGCCCCGTGGGCCCTGGTGGTAAATCCATTTTACAGGCAGGAGGCCTGGGCTCAGAGGAGTGCCTCGGCAGAGTCACACATGAAGTGGGCAGCAGAGAGAGGAGTGAGCGGGAGGTTGGTGCGACTTCAGAAGCAGTGCCCTGCTCCTTGGTCCCCGTGGTCCAGCAGGTGGGCTGGCCCACCAGGGGAGGATGCTGAGACCAGGCAGCTGGACAGAGGGGCGTGGCCATCCACTGCTCTGTTTCCCTACCTGCCCGCCCCCCCCCCCCCCCCGTACGTGTCTCCTGAGCTCCTGGCCTCGGCAGCTCCCTTGGTCCAGTCTCTTTACGCTCAGAAGCAAGGCAGCATGGGATGAAAAGGGGCACGAGGCACTGGGCCATCAGGCGTGGACCGAGCACCTCTGAGCTCAGGATTCCCACCCCCTCACATTGCAACCAGGGCTAAGGGGGACCCCTTGTTTGTCTCCATCCTGTCTGCTCTGGCAGGCAAAAGCCATCCCTTCTGAAGCCTTAATAGCCATTAAAATGCATCTCTTCGGGGGGGGGGGGGGGGGGGGGCATGGGAACTCCATGTACAGCAGTTGTCCGGGGTCTCTCTCTCTGAATCATGAAGATGGTTTCCTTACTCATGAGGAGGGCCTGAACTGGGTAAACAGTGCCAGAGATGTTGAATCACCGAGCAGTGGGGGTGAAGGTGGGGGGAGATGATTATCAATAATCTTCCTAAAGATGTACCCTTTGAGGAAGGAATTCTTTTGGTCTCAAACTGGAGAAGTATAAGTTTATGCCTCTTGCTCAGCGGCACAAGGCCAGGAATACCCCACACGCTTTCTCGGCAAGGTGGCCCCGGTCTCCCATTGAGTTTAGAACACTGTGCTGTCCATTGTACAGCGAGACCGCCTCAGGATGGGTGCGTGGGGCCGTATTCTGTTACCTGCCAAGTGAGGGTGGGCAGCGTAAAAGGTAATTCCAAATGGTTACCTTGCAAGTCTTTCTCCGGGTCTTTGGATTTCTTGGTTTGCCTTTCTACCTAATAAGGCTGCATCTGATGCCAGAAAGATTCTCCTGGCCCGCCCCTGGGCATGGGCGGTAAAGGTCAGCCTCCTGCTCAGATAAGTGCAGCAGCTCGTGTAAACTTCAGCCTGTTTCTGCAGCCCCATCTTCCCACCCAGCTCTGGGGTGCCTGCCCCCTGAAACGCAGTCAGGGCCGAAGCCCAGACTGGCCTCAGCACGGGGGGCCGCAGACGACGGAGAGGTGACTGCAAACGCAAGTAACCAGAGGGCATCACATGTTGGCAAAGCAGAGGCTTTCATGCTAAGAAAGAAGACAGGCCTGGGGGCTTGGGTGATGCAGAGAGAGTTTTCGGAACCGGCCTCCCCCTCTGCAGGGCAGGGCCCACCGCTGCGCACTCTGAGAGCCCGTCTCTCACAGAGGATGGTGGTGATGGAGCGGGTCCATCCCGCCATCTGGGGAGCGTGGGCCCCGAGAATCTCAGCTCTCTCTGGAGAACTTATGGGTTGTCTCTCCCTTGTGGTGACTTCCAGGATGACATGACCGACTCCCTGCGAGATTACACCAACCTGCCCGAGGCTGCCCCCTTGCTCACCATCCTGGACATGTCGGCCCGGGCCAAGTACGTGATGGACGTGGAGGAGATCACCCCTGCCATTGTGGAGGCCTTTGTGAATGACTTCCTAGCGGAAAAGCTCAAGCCAGAGCCCATCTAGTGGGGCTCCAGCCTCATGAGACATTATTTAAAACTCAGTCTCCCCCTCTCCCTCCCCCTCCTCTTCCCCTCCCTCCCCTCCGCCCATGGACTCTCCCGGCGTGTCCCGAACACACAGCCCCGGCGTCCAGCCGCTCTGTGGTGCCTTGTTTTCCGCATTAACTCCTCACCAGCCCCCATGCGCGTCCTCGCGGCAGCGGGAGAGCCGCCGTGTTTGGAGACGCCGCTCGGGATTGGCAGGGTGGCGGTGACCCGTGACCAGCTCCCGGCGAAGTGCCCGCCAGGTGTCCTCCCGGGTGAGCCTGCGGGCACAGCGCACGGTGCTCGGGCTCACGCAGCCGAGCGACACGGTGGAGCGGGGACAGGGCCACCGCCTCGCTGGGCCTTAGCTTAGCGCTCCCGGCCTATGAGAAAGCCTTTCTGGATGACTTTGCCTCGGTCCAGGGAAAACGAGCTTGTCCGCTGGCTCCGGGGCAGGGGGTCTCTGATCTCAAAGGAAGCTTGTGTGCTTTTCTGGCGGGAAGAAAAAGATGGCTCAGTAACGATTCATGTAGTAATTGCTTAATTTGATTGGGCTCCTACCATGGGGAAGAGCTTCTCATTCCTCCCTTATCTCCCTCCCTTGATCTTGACCTTCTCTAAGCTGCCGCCTTCTCATATGAACAGCCCCCTACGAGCTTGGAATTTTGTTAATAAATTCTTCCCCCTTGGGCATGTTCCCAAGAAGACACACTTGGCCTTGGTTCTTAAAGGAGCCCTGCCTCCCATGCAGACCTCCGACTCCGCCCGGCCCTGGGCCTGGGACCCAGGGAGCTCTGTTGAGGTGCCCATGCCCACCTTTGGTTACCCCCGTCATTCCCTTTTCTTTCCAAAGCAGAGCTAAAAGGAGGCAGATGACCAGAAGCCTTGCTCTTCCCTAAGAACCTGCAGAAAGAGCTGCGCCCGAGGGTGGGGGTGAGGGCAGAGGACATGGCGATGAAGAGCAGGCCTCGGACCCACTTGGCTAGACCCTGGTAGTCGGCTCCTTCTCCGGGCTGAACTGACCACTGACAGGAGAATAACCTCTGTGTGCTCGGGATTTGTGATGGAGGGTTTGCCTGGGGGCTGGCAGGGTTTTAGCCCCTTTCAGCCAGACGTCTGGGTCTTTACAGCAGCCCCAGACCTTCCCCGTGGCCCCGCTCACGGCACTGCCAGCCAAACCGTGGATTTGGGAAACCCAGCCCCCAAATAGCTGTCACACTGCTCCTTACCGAATTGGATTGTTGCTTTGTAGCTCAGAGGTACAAAATTAGTTGGTAATGAGACTGTTACTCGATGTCACCAGCCTGATATGCCATCACCTCGTCAGCAATAAAGCAGGCATCTCTGGACGTTACCAACCACTCGGCCGTTCCTGTCCTTAATAACAAACATCTTTTTGCTTGTGGTGCTATGCTTGTAGGAGGTGGGCAGTGGGGGATGGGGCATAGGAGATCCCCTCGTCATTGGACACCTGGTAGCTACGTTAGAGAATCGTCAAGAACCCCGAGACCCAACGGTGTCATCTGTCAAATCCTCCAGAAGCCAGAAAGCTCGTTCGGATAGAGCACTAGAGGCAGATCCATGCCGGAGGCCTGGCTGCCATCGCTCTTGGTTTGACTGGCCCTCGCACACAGCGGGTTCTCAGAGGAGACAGCCGTGTGGACACGGTGCTCACTCCCTCCCTACAGGGGAGCAGATGCTCGGAAGCAGGAGAAGTCCAGGGTGGGAAGCACAAGGAATCCTGCCCGTGTCTCCCTGTGGTGAATGGGCAGTAATCGGAGATCCTCGCACCCAGCTCTGTCTTAGGGCCAGGTTTCTCTGGGAGCCCTGCCAGCGTCTCCCTTGGGGGGGTGGGATGGGGCGTGGGGACAAGTTGAGTTTCACCTCCCTTGGAAGACGGGCAAGGTTTCTGCCTGTGCCCTATATCGTGATGACCTGGGAAGAAGGTGGGCTCATAGCAGCTACTTATCTTCTGGGGTGGAAGGAACAGGGTCCAGTGAAGAGTCCCTGTGAGTCATTGCAGCAGGAAAAAACAGGTCCCCTGAGGTCCTTCTGGGTCCCGTCCAGGGCAGATTGAACTACTTACCATCATGTCACCTGGCTCCTTGACGCCAGGATCCCCTTTCAGAGAGGGTGTGCAGGTTAAGATCGGCGCGAAGCTTCACTAGAAGGGTGCTTTAGGGTGATAGAATGGCGGCTTTGGGGCCAGCGCCCATGAGACATCCCTGACTTGACAGCGCAGGCGACCTTAAAGGTTATTGGTGCCGACGAAGTGGGTGGCTTCTTAATTTCCACTGGGCACCTCCAAAATACCTTAAGATCTTGCCGCTAATTGGAAGCAGGCTGAAACACCAGCTGTCGTGTATTCGGGGGTTTCCGACAGCAGCTAAGGAGGACCATGCCCTGCAGCTTGAGGCAGGATGGCGGTTGTAAAAATGCCACCCCCGGGTTCCAGATTTGTGTTCACCACAATGACTTCCAGATTCGACTCGATCTGTTTTCACAACAGAAATGAGGGTGTGTGTGTGTGTGTGTGTGTGTGTGTGTTTTAATCTGTCCCCAACAATAAAGATCTGCTTCTTCTGGATTGGTATTACAAGGGGCAGTTGCAGATGCCAGAGGGTGACTGACACCAGCTTCCTTTGTCTCCCCCCGTCCCGTCCCCTCACACACACTGGAAATCAATGGCGCTCACTTCCCCGAGCACCGGGAGCCAGGACTGCTCTTTTGGCATCAGCCAAGCTTCAAGTGGTAGTTTCCAGCCAGACTTTGTTTTTTCCTGTTGCCTAATTAAAGACACCGAAAAGCTGTTCTCTCCTCCTGCCGCCGTTCTGCAGGGCAGCGCAATGAATTCCGCAGTGATGTAAAGACACTAGGATCCGGTCCAGGGACCCATCCGCCGGGACTAATAAGCTGTTGCTCTGTCACCTGAGGAGAAAGCCACACATGTGTGCATGGGCGTGCGGAAGGCTGTTCACTGGGATTACAGCGCGGAGAGGGGCGGGGCGGGCCGAGGGAGTGTCTGGTCCGTGTCCCTCCGGTCGTGCAGGCACGGGCACACACGCGTTCTGTTCTGCCATCGGCCCTGGTTGGCGTGGACAGGCCCGTGCTTGCCTGTAGGACCCGGGTGCCACCCAAGCACGGACGGTAGGGAGGCTCAGCCGCGCCCTCGGCCCCTTTCCTCAGGGGGGTCTCTTGGTAAAACAAGGACGGCCAGAGGCCCAGGCTCCGGAGCTTTCCAGGCCACTCTGGAAGGGGTCAAGTGAGCGCTTAGCCCCTTTCTTTCCCTCTTTGCTGGTACGAACGGCAAGAGCACTCCCCGCTCTCCTCCAGGCAGGCAGGCCGCTCAAGGGGAAATTCTTTGGGGACAAATGGCTGTTGTTTATTATTATAGCTTCATTATTGGTGATAATAGTGCCTGTGCAAAGGGTGAACTATTTCCCAGGAAACAAAAGGCTTGTATGTAGGGAGATTTTTATATTGGGTCTGCTTTATGGCCAGGGTTTCTCCTACCGGGGAAAATGGGAATTAGGGTACGCCCCTTGCATGTGAAAGCATGACGTAAATATGCTTCATTTTCAAGACATAAATACGTCTCACCCCCTTGGTGTTTGGAGCACTTCCGAAGCCAGGAACCGTGCTGTTAAATTTGAGTAGGAGTGTTCTGAGGCGCTGTTGGGTTTTCATTCAGTAATGAGCCAAAGCCTCCGTCCCCAGGCACCAGGCCGGTGGGAAGGAAGCGCAGAGACAGCCCCCAGTCTGGATTTGTAGGTGCTGGTGCCTCACACAGTTAGGTTACCCACATGGGCTAGAGCTAGGATACAGCAGGAGGCAGGACCCCAGGAGCAGGGCCGTCAGAGGGAATGGGAGTGCCTGTTGCAATCATTGGTAAGGGGTGTGAAGGAGGCTTGGAAGCCAGACCTGCTGCAGCCAGGCTACCTCCCAGCCTTTGTTCCCTTCTTGCATTTTGAGGAAGCAGCAGCTTTGGTGATGGTCCTCACCGAACAGGAAGCTTCAGTTTTAAAAAGCAGCTCTTCCCTGCAAAACAAATGCAGTCAGAACAGACCTGGTGCTATTTGCCACACGTTCAGGTTTTCCCAACATAGTTGGCCTTTGAGCAGCAGCCCTGGCTTCCTAAGCTCCGCTGTTCGCAGAGCTTGGCTTGCAGCTGCTCTCTCAGCTGCTCCAGTGCAGCAGGGCACTAGTTAGAGACTGACTCACAGTAATCTGGCTTATTATCTTTGTGTATTAATTGATGAAGAGACAAAAATGAGATCCTGAAGTTTAAAGGTGTCTACATGAGTGTTTCTCTCCCTCCCAACCCCCCCCCTAAAAAAAATGTAAAAGGTGTCAGTCAGGTCTGCTTCTGCAGGACAGAGGTGGCTTGGCCAAGAGAGTGCCCTGGGCCCAGCAGGGCAGCCGGGCATGGAAGTCTGGCTAAGCGCTGGTTCTGGGTCTTTGGTGGCAGAATAACAAAAGTGGAGCTAAATGCAGCTCAGCTTGGATGGTGATGACATCTGGAGTTGCTGTTACCCCTGGGGCAAGAGGTAGGTCCCAGGGGGAACCAGTCCCTAGGTCTGTTCAGCCTCTGGGCCTTCACTTGGGAGAGCAGCTGTGACTGGGGGAAGGAAACAGGTGTTTTGTTTTATTTTGGGGGGGAGGGGCTCCCCCTGCCCTGAAGCTCAAGCCAAGGACAAGGCAGTGGTTCCCAGTGTTTGCCTGAAGCTTTCTCAGAGATTCTATTCAAAGTGGGGGAGGGGGAATTGTCAGTTTTGTTTTGCTGTGTCCATTTCTCATTTCTATGCATTTTCTCCTTAGTTTTGGGTCCACTGAACTCCTATACTTCAAATTCTGCTTGGAGAATGACAATCTGGATGAGTCTCCAACTTACTTGAGCATAGTGGCTTGCAAAATGCTCTATCTTTTTCAACTTAAATTCAGGAAAAAGCCTCCCGTTGGGCTTGGGAATGGTTTTGAGGCGTGGCTGCCACCTTGTGGCAGAATCATATTATAGCCATGCTCAAGCACAAAGACAAGGGCCAACCTGACATCTTTCAGCCAAGCAGCATTTTGCTTGTCAGATCCTGCTCTGTAATTATTTCCTGGGGAAATGGTGGCAGAACAAATGTTGACCTCAAAATTGAGACGTCAAAATAGCGATTTTTCAATATTACTCTGCAAACAAGAACTTCGCTTGCTGCCCTTGTAGTCATTTTAAAGGAAGGAAAATTTGCCCCCCCGTTAAATTATACCCACAAAAACACAAAAGGAAATCACTAGGCATGGTATCTAAGCCATTGACCACAAAGTGGAAGTGATGTAAATTTCATAAAATAGGTTTAGACTTACTGTTTTGTACCGTAGTTTTTCTGAACAAGGACAAGGGATAGCGTTTCTTTCATTTTTTATTTTGTAACAAAAATCAGCAGGAAGCGTAACCCAGGGGCAGAAATTATAGACTGACTTCATACTGGGCCTGGGCTTCCTTTTAGTGACTTTCGTAAGCCCTTTTTCCAAGATGCTGGGAACAAATGTCAATAGAGGCAGTTTTCTGGGCTGCCTCAGACTTTGTGCTGGGCATGTGGCTGTGAAGCTGGCAAACTAAGCTCCAGCTTTTGTGGGCTCCTCCACTTTCTAAAAGTTGATGGTCTTAACAATCCGTGGGCCACTTGCATTGGACATTTGTGGGGGCCCTAGGCAGGCCCAGCCAGACCAGAGCAAAAGTTCTGATAAGCCTCAGAGAGAATCCACCAGATTGTTCCTGCAAAAACCCCTCTTAAACATGCCAAAGCAATCCCCCCTGCCACTGAGGGCATGAGTCATACTTGACCTTTCTTGAAAGGAAGTTAAGCCAGGGGACCTGGGAAAGCCAAAGGGAAAGGAAGGCGGATCTCGGTGTCTCGGGAACGCCAGCAACTCAGCCTCCCTGGAATGAGCAGCTGAAGGGCTCCCCAAGAATCCTCACCTTTGCAGGAGCCCGAGCAGAAGGGACGCAATAGAACCCACTGCTTGTGGTGGTGTCAAGTCCAACCACATTCTGTGGTTGCAAGCACTAACTGAAATAGGTCCCACCCTTCTGTTCCAGTGGCTAAAAGCACAGCAGATACGCCCTGCATTTGCCCTTATTCCTGGCTACTCCCCAGCTGGCACACGGTGAGGACCGCGTTAGCCATCGTCTGCTGGGGGTTTGACAGAAGAGCAGGATCTTGCTCATGTTGTGGGCCCCAGGGTCCCTGCCGTTATTCTCAGAACCTCGGCTTCTCTCCCCTCACAGAAGCCCTGGTTTGCACAGCAACCAGGAATGCGGCACTTGCCTAAGCAGTTCTGTTCCTCTATGCAGGAGAGGGGATTAAAGTGTTAACAAAACAGGACTAACAGCATGAAGCAAGTAAATGGGGTACAGCTTTCCTGACAGGTGCAGATTAAGCTGAAGATTTAAAAACTGCTTCCTCCTTTTCTGAACAGAGTCCTCAACAAGATTATCTGCAGAGGTGCTAAGAAGGTATACCACCCCTTGAACTAAGCTGCTTCTACCAGCTGTATCACCAGAAATGGGGGAATGGTATTTTACATACACAAGGGCTGTTTAAGTCAGGGTCTGAGTGAACTGCAGAGGCTGACGCAGCCAGGCGGGAAGGACAGCTGGCTACTGAATGCCATCACCTGCAGCCTTCACACGTATATAAAAAATCGGGGTGCGAGGGGAATGGGAGATCTCGGGAAGAATTTTGACCTTTGTTATTAAGAATAAGCAGAAATTCAAGGAAATTAATATTTTTTAATAGCCACCCAACAGTGTTATGCATACCTGCTGGGAGCCATAATGACCAACTCCGCCAGCCTACCAATGCAGGAGAGCTAGAGACAACCTCAAACCAAGGATGACTTCCATGTCCCCTCTCAGGGGTAACTAGCTTCTGTCCCTGCTCAAGTGCTCAGCCCTTAGCCGCAGTTGTCTTCTCCCTTCAAAGAGTAGGATGCTGGCAGCCATGGCCGAGTTTAGGCTGTCCACCCCAGGAACCACAGGGATCAGCAGCCTCTTGCCCCCGGTGCTCTCAGCCAACTGCAGGGACTCCAGGCTCAGGCCATGGGTCTCCCCACCTATGACCACAGCTGTTGATGCCTCTGCCCAGTCCAAATCGTAACTCTGGACCTCAAGTTTAGGGAGGCAGTCTTTACTGGTTCCAGTTTCTAGATCCTCATCTTCCTCTTCCTCATACTTGTGAAGCTTCGAGAGCTGTTGGTCACAGATCCAGCCATGGTCACTGGCTTTATTAGATCTCTGGGTCTGGTCATAAAAGCCACAGTTGTCAGCCACGTAGACCCGGGTATCATCGGGCAGGTAGTTGGGCACTGCTTCCCAGTCCAGGTTGCTGACGATGGGCACCAGGAAATGCGCACCCATGCCTGCCCGCAGGACTTTGGGTTCCCAGGCATCCACACAGCCTAGAAAATAAAAGAGGATCTAATTAAGATTACAAACTTCCCAGGCGGAACTCTCCAGTAAACCGGATTAATTCTGGATCCGGAGATAAAGCAAAAAATCTCCTACTGGAGGTTCTTGATGGCTGGCACCGCTGCTTCCCCCATATGGCGTTATCCAGCAATGGGACTGTAGGAGGAATTCAGGCTAGTGCCAAAAAGGACTTTATTCATCCCTTCAGCATTTCACACCTGCCGGACACTAGATGAGAGATGCGAGAGCATTTAAACCCACAACCTCAACAAGCTGATACAGAAGCAGCGTGAAAAGGGAAACAGAAAACCCTTGCACAAAGCAGGACTATCAGGAAAAACACCCCTGAGACATGATACTGAGCTGGATGTTGAACAATAGAAGGATCTTATCGGAGAAAGGCCCAGAAGGGGGCAGAGTGCCACCATCCAAACACTAAGTAAGGTAGGTTAAGAAAACTAATGGGTAGGTGTGGTGGGAGATAGGACAGGAGGCAGGTAAGGACCAATTTAAAGGAAGGAGGGTATGCTGGGTATGAGGAGTTCAGGATTTTATCCAGAAGACAAATGACATTGAAGAGTTTTAAACAAAGTAGTGACAGGATCTGGTTTACATGTTAGAAATAGCCATTTGGTGTCAATGCTGAATCTGACTGGAGCAGGGAAGGTGCTAGAGATTGGAGGCAATTACAGTGATCCGGGAGAACCAAAGTAACAGCCTTGTCCTTCACAGGCTAATGGTCTACTCTCTCATGGACAGGCACGTGTATGTACATAACCACTTCTATGTATTTCCTAGCACCACAGGCTGGAAGAGACAGCAGGACTGGGACACCACAAACCTACCAACCTCCTCATTAGCACAAGTCTCCTCGTTACAAGTTCTTTTAAAAAGAAGGGCCCAGATTCATGAGGAGAGCCATCTAGTGTGACCCCTCTATCTGCTGGGGGAGTAGAGGGCAAGATGAGATGTCCTCCATCCTCATGTCCTCAATACCAGGCACTACACCAAGTGTTCCCCACTCTTTCTCCACCGCTCATTCCCAGCCACCAGCATCACTGGGAAAACATCACTTGGGTTAGATAGGAACATTTCCAAAACCACACCTACTCTCAGAGCTCTCACCGATAGGGCAGGTAAGTGGGTACTGATGATGGAGCCCAAGCACCTAGCTCTCACACTGGCAGAGAAATGCACTGCAACGTGTGACTGGGGGAAAAGTTAAGAGGAATTCAGGCAAGTCTCAGCAGTGGGTACCAATGTTAGTTTACAACGGAAGGTAACTGTAGTGTTTCTGATGAATGATCCTCTCCTTCCATCCTCCCTTACGTTGTAACAGGCATATGAGGCTTGTCCCAACTGTTACGAAAGTCTGTTTAGAACCAAGCTTACTAATCCCCATTTCCAAAGAGAGGAGACAGTAAAAAAATGTAAAGAGGCTAATTTGTGTTGTGGGGCGTTTGACCTCTGAGGCTAAGGGAAATGTAGCACAATTTCATAATCGCATCTGCTGAAATAATTTCCTTTCACAGGATTCAGAATGTCAGAGAATTAGAATGGTCTCATATACCCAACAATTTGGAAACTCAAGATCATTAAATAAAAGACTTGAAACCAAAAGTTAAAACTAGCACCTACTTCTTTTCCTGAAAGATTTTAAGTTTTTTCTTTAGTAACCTAGCAGGTGTCAAAATAATTTTAAAAGATCTACATTTACTGACTTGCTAAGTGCCAGGTACAAATAACTGCTGTCTGTGCATTATGTCACTTGATCCTCAAAACAACCATGTAGACTCTGTTAACATACCCACATTATAGATGAGGAAACTGATACGCACAATTTCTCTCACAGACATGTAGCTAATAAGGGGCAGGTCCAAGATTCAAATCCAGGCATGTTGCCCAGAGCCAGCTCACTTACAAATGGCCACCCAGTCACAGGCACTCCTACCTTTGGTGAGCAGTACTTTGCTGCAACCTGCCCCAGCAGCAGATCTCAGAATCGTCCCCAGGTTCCCAGGGTCTCGGAGATTGTCACAAATCAACAATAAGGGCAGTGAATGGTGAAGCTGCGTCGCTGGGAATGTCATCTTAACATGATCAGGTTTGGCAAAAATCCCTGAGGAAACAAAACAGGCAATTCACTTGTCTAATGTAGGCATGGGGCATAATTAGCCTTTTCATTTATTTCTCTCTGCCTATCTTAATTACGTGAACACATTCTGGTTGGAAAAATTCAAAGAGAAAGTCCCACCAGTGACCCCCTGCATAAGTGCTTCCAATCTTGGAGTATATTGTATATTTCAGAACTTGTTCCATGCAGCTACTTACATACATGTACATATAGGTGCTTTTATTTTTATTTTTTTTTAAATCAGACTCTGGATTATTCTGTAATCTAAGTCTACAACATGTCTTTGAGAACTTAGCATGTCAGTACATTTGGAACTATCTTATTCTTTTAAGTGCTGCTTCTTATTTTGTAATCGAATGTACTATGTTTATTTAAATCTTCCTCAACGGCTGACATTTAGAATATTTCCAATTTCCCCTTTTATAAACGACCCTGCATTAACATCCCTGTATGCCTCTTTGTGCATATGTCTGAACATTTCCTTAGGAAAAACACCCTTATAAGTGAAACGAATAAATGGTGTGTACACACCAATAATGTTAATTGATACTGCCTGCCCATCCCACAAGCTCTTCCAGCTTATTCACACCAAGAACACATATTGGTACATACCTGTACCTATCCTTATCAATGAATCACAGTTACATAAAACCTTAAGTTAACTTCAACCAATAAAGACAAGGCTTCCTGTTCAATGGGCTAAACAGAGCAATGAATGGTAGCTTGGACCTGCTTCTAGAACACATGTGTCAAACACAAGGCCCGAGGGCCAAATCCGTCCCGCCAGGCCTTGCAATGTGGCCCGCACCGCGCTGTCATCACTGCACTCCGCTGCGTTTCCATCACAATGACAGTTTATGACTGTTCAGTAAACCATTCGGCCCGCGATTTAGGCTGGATTTTAGATTTTGGCCCCTTCTCTGATTGAGTTCGACACCCCTATTCTAGAAAAAGGGAGTCACAATAGGTATCAGCACATGAGCAGAGGTTTTGGGGAAATGGATGGCTAAATCTTTTAGTAAACCTTTTCCTAAGTTTTAGATGTATATTAAAGCTTGAAGAAATGACCTAAAAAAAAAAAATAAGGCGTGCCAAAACCGGTTTGGCTCAGTGGATAGAGCGTCGGCCTGCGGACTGAAAGGTCCCAGGTTCGATTTCGATCAAGGCTGCGGACTGAAAGGTCCCAGGTTCGATTTCGATCAAGGGCATGTGCATTGGTTGCGGGCACATCCCTAATAGGGGGTGTGCAGGAGGCAGCTGATTGATGTTCCTCTCTCATCGATGTTTCTAGCTCTCTATCCCTCTCCCTTCCTCTCTGTAAAAAATCAATAAAAAATATAATTAAAAATAAATAAGGCATGAGGAATAAAGAGACGTAATACAAATGATGGCTTCACTTTACACTAACAATACTATAACATGCACAATCTATATATATAAAATTTGGGGACTATACTTTTCTGGGCATTTTAAGAAAAGATTAGGCAATTAACATTTTTAGTTTGGTTTAAATAAAATGTGTTCTCCTAAAACAAGTATAAGCAAATAATCCAAACAATCCTAGGTCTCTAGTGAGTGACACACTGTGTAACCACTGACCCATTATTCCTTGTGGTGTCACTAGGTCGGACCATTCCTTGATATCCTCAAATTTCACCTTAATGAGGCTGACACCTTTCAGCTTATCGAGGGGCAGCTCCTTCAGGTAGTCCAGGCGGCTGAAGAAGAACGTTTTGGGCACAGCACCAGCCTTGAGGGCGTCTGCAATCAGCCTGCGACCTTCCAGCAAGATCTTCCCTTGTTTTTCCCGAAATGTCCTGGACTTGACTACAGTCATCACGCTGCTGTGGGTGGAAACAAAAAGACTGGTCACTACCAAGCATCCCCGACACGGAGACACACCTAGTTCTGGGAGACACAGAGGCCTTCGCTGAGCGGGATACTAGTTCTGCCCTCCGCGCATAACGGGACTACTCCGTCCGCACGGTTCAGGAACACGTCACCTCAGCCTTTTGTCCCCGGGGAAGGCCTTATCGTAGCGGAGCCCCGACTCCTCCCAAGTGCTGGGCGTCTGGGCTGGGGGCTCCGGAGGCGGCTGCTTCGGTCGCGGCACGTGGGGACTGGCCTCGGCCACCGCCTTCCGGGGCTGCTTTCCGGGCTTCCGGTCCAGCACCTGTCCGGACGGAAACAGCACTTTCACGGGGCTCCGCCGCAGCGCCCGGACCCAGCGCCGGGCGTCCAGGTCCCAAGTCTGGATCAGCGGCAGCAGCGGCCGTGAGGCACACCCCACGCCCTTCACCAGGACCGCCATCTTCCCCGGCGCCGGGGCCCTGCGTCACGAACGTGCGCCGGCGGCGCGCGGTGACGTCACCGCGGCGTCAGTGGGCGGGGAGGCACCGTGCGCCGGACAGGTGTGCCACTGCTGGTGGTCATGGCTACTCGCCGAGCTCTGCACTTCGTATTCAAAGTGGGAAACCGCTTCCAGACGGCGCGTTTCTATCGTGACGTCCTGGGGATGCAGGTGCTGACGCGGGCGAGAGGGGCTGGCGCGCGGGCGGCGCGCGGGGCGCGCGCGGGCGCGCGGGGGGCGCGCGGGGGGCGCGCGGGCGGCTGAGCCACACCTGGCCGAGAGGTCAACCCAACGCGGCGCCCGACCTTAGCCCCGGCCTTCCCCTTCGCCCCGTCGGGTTTCCAGCTTCAGGAGGTCCTGCTTGGGTAGCTAGATGGTCTTGGAAAGGGGCCTCGCATTCTATCTGTTGCCGACTACGTGCCCACACACATTCTTTCATTTACATTCATCCACAAACGTGTACTGCGCCTCCGGCCCTGGTGGAGCTTTCCCGCTAGTGGGACCGACGGAACAGAAGTTCCCGCTTACAGGAATCCGTCTCTTCCGGGTTGGAGCCTTTCGGCTTACAGAGCATCAGCATAGTCAGAGCTCTGTTTCTCCCCGGGGTGGTTTGAATGTTCTCTTTCGGGTACTCAGTGTCTGGGTGAATGCTCCCACTCTCCTCTCAACAGTCCCCCGATGTAAATGTGAAGTCAAACCCTTTCTCCTCTCCAACGCCCAACACCTCTCTGCAGCCCTGAGCAGTTACGATTTTGCGGGGGGGGAGTGGGGGGGTCCCTGGGTAACACAGGTGGAAGCAATTGGGGAGCTCCTGAGAGGTACAAGAGTACAGTTTAGTGTAGAGAGTGCAGAAGGCGTGGGGTGCAGATACAGTGTCCAGTTTCACGGGACGGTGTTGAGGTTTGGTAACATGGCAATGACTGCATATCTGTCCTCAATTAAAGCTGGCCTGGGGCGGGGTGAGATGGGAATTTGTGCATAGCTAACAGTAACGGAAGTTGAAATTTGATATGGTAAGAAATCAGAAAGCTGTCCTTTATTGTGACAGTGTTAGCATCTGTTACCTAATTACAACAGGAGAGACCTAACTCCATCCTGGAGTGGTCAAGAAATAATTCACGGAGACTTTGCATTTGAGTTGAAAAAGATCGGATTTCCACAGATCCCACTAAAGAGCCAAAGCAAATATAAGGAATGTTCGGGAAGCACCGCTAGTCTTACGTGCCTTTAGTTTCAATGACTTTGTTGACGTTGAGGAGATAGGATATCAGTACAAATAGACTGGTTCTCCTTCCGATTGTATCTTGAATTCTATGCTAAGTATTTAGATTATTAAGGTAGGGGATCAATAAGTAGTCTGTAAGTGAAGTGATGGGAACTTAAACTGGAGCAGTAACAGTGAAAATCAAAAAGGAAAATAGACACTAATACCTACTGTGTACAAGGCTCTGTGCTGTAATAACCCACTTTCACAAAATATTTGAAGACCCTGATCTTAAGCAACCGTCTTAGGATTACACAGCTGCTAAGTGATAGAATTCCAAACCGGACTTGTTTAACGCTGAAGGCCACTTAACAAACACACAGCCACATAGCACTGCTTCCCAGTCTAAATCCATTTCACAACTTTGCATGGTTACCTGACCTCTACACCTGGCCTGGGAAGATATAAAGCTGATCGTCTTCTGTTTGTTTTACAAGTAAAGCTTGCCAATGATAGTGTCTATGTTTTGATTAGTTTAGTTCTGTGCTAAATATGCTCGATGCAGCACTAGTAAAACTTTACAATTTTCCCCAATTCCCTTACCAGGTTCTGCGGCATGAGGAATTTGAAGAGGGCTGCAAAGCTGCCTGTAATGGGTATGACACCTGGTTTCTTAACATTTCCTTTAGGCTCTGAATACCCCTGGAGAACAGAAAGCAGTTTCTCAAAGCGAGTGTGAGGCAGAGGAGAAAATTAAGGAGGCAGTAGATTGGGTAAATTCAGGAACATAAACAAATACATGCTGTGGGTGAAACAATGTCTTATCAAGTATCTCTTAAGCTTGGTAGCCAGGGCAAGTGAAAATTCCGAGGCTTGGTGGCTTGTGGATGGAAATACAATAAAGTAAATTAAAGTCAGCCTTTATACGATTCTGTCCCCTCCTTTAAAGAAAAGGTAAGTGAATCTCTTCCTCAGAGCCTTTGGCGATGGGGCCGTGAGACTGTTCCCAGCAGCTGTTAGCACAGCTGAGGCCAGCCCATCCCAGCGGATACTTAGAGGACGGGAAGGGACGTGCCCACCTCTGTCCCAATGGTTCTCGGAGGGAGGCCTGAGGAAGGTTTTGTCTGAGGTCACTGGGCCCATTTGCTTCTATTTCTCTAGGCCTTATGATGGGAAATGGAGTAAAACGATGGTGGGATTTGGACCTGAGGATAATCATTTTGTTGCAGAACTGACTTACAATTATGGCATCAAAAACTACCAGCTTGGCAACGACTTTAAGGTAAATGTCATTTTGTTCTAGACTTTTGGCTGTACCTTTTTTGTTGTTAATCCTCACCTGAGAATATTTTTTCCATTTCTCTTTCAGAGGGAGTAAAAGGGAAGGGAGGGTGGGACACAGAGAGAAACATCAGTAGGAGAGAAACACATCAATTGGTTGCCTCCTGCATGCACTGACCCAGGGCGGGAAGTGAACCCACAACCCAGGTACACGCTCTTGATTGGGAATCAAGGCTGGAGACCCTTTGGGGTGCAGGCTGACGCTCTAACCATTGGGCCATGCTAGTGGTTGAGATCACTGATGCCGCTTAGGTTATGATGACTGATGAATTAATGGCCTGTGGATGTAGTTTAGTGATTATTTTTATGATTTCTATTTAAAACAAAACCACTTAGATAAGCCTGGCTTCAGGGTGAAATGTGTTCTTCCTGCATTTTGGAATCAAACTCAAGACTTAGAGACAGGTTTGCCGGGACTGGTTTGGCTCAATAGATAGAGCATCGGCTTGGGGACTGGAGGGTTCCGGGTTCGATTCCAGTCGGGGGCATGTACCTTGGTTGTGGGCATATCCCCAGTGGAGGGTGTGCAGGAGGCAGCTGATCTATGACTCTCTCATCAATGTTTCTAACTATCTCTCTCCCTTCCTCTCTGTACAAAATCAATAAAATATTAAAAAAAAGAAAAAGAAAAAAAAAAAGACTTAGAGACAGGTTTGAAGGAGACAAACACCTCTAGAAGAATGACTGAACCTCAAGATGTAAAGGACCAGAGTCATTGGTCTGGGAAGGTCCTGATCACCATTCAGAGAAATACTTTCTCTGTAGTGGACTGTTAATATTGGTCTAAGCTATTACAGTCAATCCCAGTTAGAGAAAAATCTGAGAAGGTTTGGGGGGTAGAGAAGAATACATTAATTCATTCAGGAATTCAAGTTATTTTGCACCTATAATTGTAATAGTACCCACCATTTATTGAGTAGTTTCTATGTGCTAAATAGCATGCCACTGGGACCAAAACATAGCAAGATGGGAGTAACTAATTTTCATTCAGAATCTATTGAGCAAGTCAACCTCATGCTAGATGTTACTTTGGTCATTTGATCTCATTAATGCTGTTAACTCATTAAAATAACAATGCTATCTAGATGGAAGTTTTTAGGAAAATCAGATGTCTATGAAAGGAAGTGTTTTGTAAATAGAAAGGACTTCAGATTCAACATATTAATACATTTGTTTTTTTCTTTAGCACTCTTCATGTCTCTCTTATTCGAAACAAGTAAAGAGACAAGAATGCAGTGTGATAAGTGCTAAGATTGGGGTACGGACGGGGGATGTGGGGACACAGAGCACTAATTCCCAGCCTATTCCTGGAGAGTGAGAGTGTAGGAAAGCTTTCCAGAGATGACCTCTGAGCCAGGTGAGCGGAGTTGGGATGGAGGGTGAGATGAGTGTCCTCAGAGGTGAGGGAGACTGTGTCACTCAGAACTATGAGGAGCACGGTCTGACTGCAGCTTAGTGTGTGAAGAAGGGAGTAGGTAGAATTGAGGCCGAAGAAGTAAGCTGGCCTAGCCGGTGTGGCTCACTGGTTGAGCGTCCACCTATGAACCAGGCGGTTATGGTTCAAATCCTGGTCAGGGCATATGCCCTGGTTGTTGGCTCAGTCCCCAGTGTTGGGTGTGTAGGAGGCAGCCGATCAATGATTTTCTTTCATCATTGATGTTTCTAAATCTCTCTCCTGCTTCCTTCTCTGAAATTAATAAAAATAGTATTTTTTTTTTTAAATGATGTTGTAGGCCTGGGTTATGACTACCCACTGTGACTTGCCCAGTTAGAAATTTATGATCAGATCACCCTGTGAGGTTACTTTCGGTCACTGGACTTGTACGTACCCTCTTCTTTGTCCACAATAAGAAGGCGATGGGTTTTGTCCCATTATAAAAGGTCTCTTGTGATGAGACACTTGGATGATATTGTTGTTTGTCATAGGGCATCACCATCGCTTCTAGCCAGGCTGTCAGCAATGCCAAGAAGCTGAAGTGGCCTCTCACTGAAATTGCAGAAGGTGTTTTTGAAACCGAGGCCCCAGGAGGATATAAGTTCTATCTGCAGGATCGAAGTCCACCTCAGCCAGGTAATCTATAAAGTCCTCCGTCTAAAGGCACCTTTGATGGAAGGAGGAGGGAGCTGGATTTCTTCCTCCTGGGGAGTCTTTCTATATTGACATGACATGCCTTTCTCAAGCCGGTGTTGTTATTTGTTCTCTGAAAAGTTACATTCTTATATGATATCTTTATAAGGGATCTAGACTAGTTCTACTGGTATCGTAGCTGTTTAAGCTGCAAAAAACAAAACTCAATTCAAACTAGCTTTAACAATAAGAATTTTTTTTTTTTTTTTAGCTCACAAAGCCAGCATTCTATAGGTAGGGAAAATTTCAGCATTCATTGATTCAGCAGCTCAGAAATGTCAACAAGGCCGAAACTGGTTTGGCTCAGTGGATAGAGCGTTGGCTTACAGACTGAAAGGTCCCGGGTTCGATTCCAGTCAAGGGCATGTACCTTGGTTGCAGGCACTTCCCCAGTAGGGGGTGTGAAGGCAGCTGATCGATGATTTTTCTCTCATCGATGTTTCTAACTCTCTGTTCCTCTCTGTAAAAAATCAATAAAATGTATTAAAAAAAAGAAAGAAATGGCAACAAGAACCCCAATTTTCTCTCTCTCTCCATTCTCTTGTCCCCGGAGCCAGTTCCCCTCCTCGTGGGAGGGTAGTTGCCAGTAGCAGTTACAGCTACAGGCTCCTGCGTTCTCTCCTGGTAGGAGAGGGAGAGACTGACTTCCTGGCACTCTCTTATAAGAGCAGACACCAAACTTTCCTAGAATCTTTCAGCAAACTTCCTTGTCAGGTTTTTAAAAATATATTCTTATTTCAGAGAGAAAGGGAGACGGAGAGAGAGATAGAAACATCAATGATGAGAATCACACCCCACACCAGGGATTGAGCCCGAAATCTGCACATGTGCCCTGACCAGGAATCGAACCGTGACCTCCTGGTTCATAGGTTGACCCAACCACTTAGCCACTCTGGCTGGGCTTCCTTATCAGATTTTATTCACGTGCCCACTTGTGAACCAATCATTGGTAGGCGAAACAGGGTTATCCTCAGACCAGCTGGTCATATTCTCCAGCAGAGGCCAGTATCCCAAACTATAGAGCTGGTACTCAGGGAGGGAGGGAGAAAAGGGAGGGAGGAGTTGCCCCCACACTGACCGCCCCAGGGAGCAGGAAAGAAACTGCATGAAGTGCTTCATTTATGACCCAGGCATCTTCCTCATATGTGTATTTCATTCCTGCATATTCTGCCACCTGCTCCGCCAAAAGAAAAATACTGGTGAGTAGCAAGGGCAATTCTGCCTGTCATTTCACTGCCAAGTGGACCTGAGATGGGAGAACTTTCTCTTTCCTCTGCTGGACTGCCTCAAGTCCCAGAACCCCCTCACACTAGTCTGATTGTCGTGTTGAGTGCTACTTGCTTTTCCTCTGGAGCTCAGCAGGAGAACATGACGTGTTCCAGTGTGGGAGATGGGACTTACTGAGAGATGGTGTTTCTGTACATCACTAGTGATTTAAGGGATTTTTATTGATAGGTGGCTGTTACTTTACATACTAACTTTAAAATTAAACCTCTGTCGCCGAAACCAGTTTTGCTCGGTGGTGGAGCGTCGGTCTGCGGACTGAAGGGTCCAGAGTTCGATTCCGGTCAAGGGCATGTACCTAAGTTGCGGGCACATCCCAGGTGGAGGGTGTGCAAGAGGCAGCTGGTCGATGTTTCTCTATCATTGACGTTTCTAGCTTTCTATCTCTCTCCCTTCCTCTCTGTAAAATATCAATAAAATATATATTAAAAAAAAATTAAACCTCTGTCACTTATTCCTCTGTACATTTCCCTTCTAATCTTAATGTTTTAATATATAAGTTAATGGCAAGCCCCACAATCCTAAGACGTTTTTGTCCTTAAGAATGATAGTTCCCTCAGGACATTAATTTCTGATTGGTAAAATAGTAAAGGTATCAGACTAGCTGTGTCCACCCTTCCTTTGAATCACTTACTTATCTGTAGTTTTACCCACTTATTTACCCTTCCTGCCCCTGCATTCCTTCGGAGTCAGCTGGAATCTGTTGATTTCTCAATGAATGGGAAAACTAAAACAGTCTGCCAAGCAGAGAGACCTGTGAGAAACCCCTTGCCTTGGGTCATTGCATTGCTATTCTAGCAAACCAGAGCAAGGCAGCGAAGAGGAAGGACAATGTATTGAATTTATCATAAGCAGATGTAGACTTGGAACAGCTCTGGAGAAAGTCACTTTACAATATGAAATTTTCCAGTAATGATGTTTTGATATAACTTTTGCTCTTTTTTGCAAAACAAAATAGATCTTAACATTTTAGAGTATAGCTTTCCAATCTTTTATTTAAAAATAAATAACTCCGGGCCTGGTTGCTCCCGACCCGGCTGCTCTGGGCCCGGATGCTCTGGGCCCGGTCGGCAGCGGCCAGGCCCGGAGCGGCCGGGCCCGGAGCAGCTGGGCCCTGAGCAGCTGGGCCGGGAGCAGCAGCAGCCAGGCCCAGAGTGGCAGCAGCTGGGCCCGGAGCATCCGGGCTCGGAACAGCAGCGGCCAGGCCCAGAGCAGCCAGGCCGGAAGCGGCCAGGCCCGGAGCAGCTGGGCCCAGAGCAGCTGGTCACAGAACAGCCAGGCCGGGAGCAGCCAGGCCCGGAGCGGCAGCAACTGGGCCCCAAGCAGCAGGGGCCAGACTCGGAGCAGCTGGTTGTGGAGTGGCCCGGAGCAACAGAGGTCAGGCCCGGAGCAACCAGGCCCGAAACAGCTCGCTCCTCGCCTGCCCCCGCCCCAGGGCTGCTTCTCAGACATGAATGGAAACTTTTGGGGGAACGTGAGGGTCTGCTGAATCAAGTGATGAAGGCTTAGATCTGGATGTGTTGAGTTGTAGCACTGGGGTGTTGATCTGTGAGTGCCTTGTGTGGGGCCTGGATGAGGTTGGTTGACCTATTTGGAAGTGTCTTTTGTGTGAAGTGTATCCTTGGGCATGTGGAGGTATTATTGATTTGAGAAAATGTTAAGTAATTGATTTACTACCTGAAAAATTTAAAAGTTCTGAAAGTTTAAGGTCTCTTGCCAAAAAGAGGTTTTAAAGCTAACACCTTAATTTTAATGGAGAAAGGGGAGGACAAGCCCATCCCACCCAGAACAGGTAATCCAATTCCAGCCAGCAGCTATCTTTAAACAATGTGTTCATTTACATTTGAATCGCCACACCTTTTGATAGCCTAAGGGCAAATTTACATGTAAGCAAGTTTGCTTCTCAGTTCCCAGGGCAGAAAAAACAAGGTTTAGAATTATTAGATTTTAGCCGAAATCAGTTTGGCTCAGTGGATAGAGCGTCGGCTTGGGGACTGGAAGGTCCCAGGTTCGATTCCGGTCAAGGGCATGTACCTTGGTTGTGGGCATATCCCCAGTAGCGGGTGTGCATGATCGAAGACTCTCTCATCGATGATTCTAACTATCTCTCTCCCTTCCTCTGTTCAAAATCAATAAAATATATTAAAAAATAAATAAAAATAAAATTATTGGATTTTAAAATTTATTCTTAAAAATATAAAAGTTTATTAATTTAAAAAAACAACCAAGGAAATTTAAAAAAACTGATTAACAATATTAACTGTTGATTATAATAGAATCAGAGATACGGGAGGGGAGTGGGCTGACAATTCTCGGGGGGAAAAGGGGAGTGGTGGATGCGGGGAAGAGACTGAATATAAACTGTGCACCTATGGATGAGGACAATGGGGGGTGAGGAAATGGCAGAGGGTGGGGTGGGAACCTGGTGGAGGGGGGAAGAAATGAGGAACCTTTGTAATAATATGAACAATAAAGATTGATTTAAAGAAATAAAATAAAAATAAATAACTGTGTGCATAACTGGTAGACTGGGACAATAGTGTGATGGTGGCCAGAAGAAAAGGGGTGGGGGGGCTGCATGGAGTTGGGGAATGGAGACATCTGTCATAGTGTCAACAACAAAAACAAGGTTAAAAAAATATATAATTTAATAGGTATAATTTTATTCATATTTTATTGCAAGGATTCCATTGTATTGCATCATAGGAAGATAAACAGTTCTCTATTGTTGGATATTTATGTTGTCCCTAGGGTTTCCTTGTTATGAGGAACACTCTAATGGGTGCCTTTGTGATGAAAGTCCTTCATGCATCCACAGTTCTTTTGTTTTTAGTTTTTATTGATTTCAGAGAAGAAGGGAGAGGGAGAGAGACAGAAACATCAATGATGAAAGAGAATCATTGATCAGCTGCCTCCTGCATGGCCCCAACTGGGGATCGAGCTCGCAACTCAGGCACGTGCCCTTATTGGAAATCAAACTGTGACCTGGTTCATAGGTCAACACTCAACCATTGAACCACACTAGCGGGGCCACAATTACTTGTTTAATTGCTGAAGATGGGGTTATTCTTATAAAAGCCCTGTGTGTTTTTTAGGCTTTGGATAGAATCTGTGAAATTGTTCCTCAGAAACGAACTAGTTTATACTCTCCCAGTGTTATACGATTGTGATTTCCCCCCTGCACTATCACAGTCAGTGCTGTGAACTTATTTGCCAGATAACCAAGTGTTTTATTTGAATTCTACTTTCTTTGATTATTTGTGAGGTTGCATATTTTTTCATATGTCCATTGACCATATGCTAGTTCTGTTCCTTACTCCTATTTTTCTAGGATATTAATCTTTTTCCTATTATTTAAAGATAACTAATAAAGACTTTTTGTCTTAGATTTTAGAAAAAAAAATGTCACCAACTTTGTTTACTCTTTCATTTTGATTATAATCCTTTTTTTTTTTTGCTTTTGCTTTTGTTGTCTAGGAGTCTTCCATTTCCTGTAATTAACCTAGCAATTTTTTCCTTCTTGGTTTGTTTTATCTTGTGTCAGTTTTAAAAAAGTCTTTCTTCCGACATTGTACAAATACTCACCTGATTCCAATATTTTTATGGTTTCGTTCATTAAACTTAATTCTTTAACCCATCAGGAATGCATTTTGCCATTTAGTTTAAAGGTGTAACTTTTTTTCACTAAATGAGACGCCAGTCATTGAATAATGTGCCCTTTCATGTTGACTTAAAATCCCTTTCTTATCATAAACTAAATTCTTATATATACTAGTACTTGAGCCCCCTTTGGTCTTTCTGTTCAATTCCATTACACTGACCTATCCATTCCTTGCTGCTTTGTTAACCTACAGATCCTGTACTAAAAGTAACTCTAGCAGTGTCTGATCTTCAGAAGTCCTTGAACTACTGGTCTAATCTGCTGGGAATGAAAATTTATGAAAAAGATGAGGAGAAGCAAAGGGCTTTGCTTGGCTATGCTGATAACCAGGTGAGTAATCTTGGAGAGAAAGGATCTGTTATTTGAGTTTGGCTTATAAATGAGGTTAACATGAAGGTTATTTCCTTGATTTCTTCATAGTGATTTAATATTTATATAGAAACAGAAAAAGAAAAAAATTGCTGATAACCTCACCACCTAGATATTGGGGGATGTATTTTTTCAAAGTGGAATTGCCAAATCAGAAGAGATATAGACAAGATTTAGTGCTGTAATGATCATGTATTTTAACCTTTTTATTTTTAAAAAAATAACCCAGCATTTGAGCATGATTTAGTTCTTGCACTTTGACCCGGTAGGTCTATTCCTTAATTTACAATAAAAGAAAATAGACTCGGGCAACCTCTCAGTTGACAAATTTGCTAGATTCTCTCCTTGCTCTTTCATATTACTGGGAATTTATTTCACATACTCATTAGATATTAAGTGACAGAACCAGGAAAGATTGATTCTCTTGCAGCATTGTTTATAATAGCAAAATATATGACATAATATAAATGTCCTGTGGATTAGCAGAATAGTTCAATAATTTATGGTTCGTCCATAGACTGGATTACTATGCAGCTATCAAAAAGACTGAGGTGATTATGTGCTGATGTGGTAACATTAATGGGAGAAAAACAAGGAACAGAATTAATGTGTAAATTATGCTACCATTTGTGTAAAAAGAAGCTGTGTGTCTAGAATTATACACAGGAAACTGCTGACTGGTGCCTCTGGAGTGAGAATAGGAGGGAAACTTCATTTTTACTTTATTCCTTTAGTACTGTGAATTCTTTTTTACCACATAACAACTTGTTCTGAAAAATAAACCAAACCTACTTTCCTGATTCTTTTCAGTGTAAGCTGGAGCTACAGGGCATCAAGGATGCAGTTAATCATGCAGCAGCTTTTGGAAGAATTGCCTTTTCTTGTCCCGAAAAAGAGGTAATGTTTGGTACCAGATCTTTTGCTTAAGTTCTGTGATAATTAGTTCAACTGCTGAGAACCGTGGGCCTCCCGTTCTTTAGGTTCATTCCCATCGTGGCTTCAACAATTGTCTCAAGAGGCTGAGATAAGAAAAATTAGACAAGTGGCTCCTGGGTTCTTTCTGGTTGACCTGATGTTCCTCTAGAGCCAGCGAGGACCATGGCCTAACAATGGTGCGGGATTCCTAGCTCACTTTTTCTTTGTGTTTTCCTCAAGCTGCCTGGCTTAGAAGACTTGATGAAAAGGGAGAAGCAGGAGATTCTGACTCCCTTAGTGAGTCTGGATACCCCTGGGAAAGCGACAGTACAAGTGGTCATTCTGGCCGACCCTGTAAGTATTCCTCAGGAAGGGGCAGGCTGCACCAGGGCTTTCTTCCGAGGTGTCTGTTTGCCAAATTTCTTTTGTCCTTTTTGGTGTAGGATGGACATGAAATTTGCTTTGTGGGGGATGAAGCATTTCGAGAACTTTCTAAGGTGGATCCAATAGGAAACAAGTTGTTGGATGAGGTGAGTGTCATTTCTAAATTTATAGGACCATAGCCCAAGGGAGGTGGCATTAAGCGTGAACGGGGAAAAGCCAACGCCACAGGTACCATTCTTACTCTCGGAACCATGTCCTCTTGCTTTTGGGATGGCTTTTGAACCATGTACTCTTCATTGCCCCATGTGACTCTTACCTGGGTGCAGCTTTTGTGCCTTCCCACTACCTCAGCTGCCTTGGGGAACCACGGCTGCTGTATGCATGATGATTCTGCTCAGTGAATGGAAATGCCTGACACCATCCCCTCTCGCCTTCTTAGCTCTTTTGGTCATCTCTACTCCTATAGAATCAGTTTATTCCTTTTTAGTGAATTGTTCTCAAGCTCCAGTACCTTCCATCTTTGAAAAACATTTTATTTGCCCAACATAACTTATGATTTTTTTTTAAATCTGCCTATACACTATCTTTATTCTCACCTCCCATTCACACTTCAGTCTGTTCTACACTGGCTCCTGTCACTCAGTGCATTTTGATCTCATCAGAGACTTCCATCCTGCCTAATCCAGCTACTTTTCTATCCTCTTCGAACAGTTCTTTAGCAGCATCCAAGCAATTGTTCATTGTTGTTGTACCCCAGCATCTAGCATTCGTGGTATGTAGTTGGTCTTCAGTGAATACTCTATTCATGATTAAAGGGATGAATAAATCTTTTCTGGTTCTGTCACTTAATATCTATCTATATGGCTGACCTCAAGCAACTAAAAATTAGGAAGTCAGAGAAATTATAATGGCTGATCTCAAGCAATTTACTTGTCTCTAAACTTAAGTTTTTTTATTAAAAATTTGAGAAAATAGCCAGAACCAGTTTGGCTTAGTGAATAGAGCATCGGCCTGCGGACTGGAAGGTCCCTGGTTCGATTCAGGTCAAGGGCATGTATGTACCTTGGTTGCGGGCACATCCCCAGTGGGGGCTGTGCAGGAGGCAGCTGGTCGATGTTTCTCTCTCATCAATGTTTCTAAAAGCTCTCTATCCCTCTCCC